ACAAATCCCTAAAGTAATAATTGAGACCAGCAAGAAATTCATTATCTAAATATGGCTGAAGTTTCTCTTTCCTTAGGGTGATTTTATCCACTCTCCTCCACCAGTGCAAACTCCCCTGTGCTCCATTCCTGCCCCAGTTTTTTCGATTTTCTCCAATCAAAATAATCTCCAGTTGCATTTGGGTTGCCATACCTGTTGATTGAGTTATTTTACATTGGTATGCCTGTGGTGCGGACGGACAGCGAGTGAACGGGCGTACGGTCACGTGATTACCAAAATTTTTCTGATGGGTAGACTACCACATTTTCTTAGGTTTGGGATTACGCTCGCGTGGAGCTCCGCAATAAAACAAATAGATTCCATGTTGGCATGGGTAAGTTCCATAATACGTCACAGAAGACGTCAACATGTGGTAAAAACATCAGTGATGCACTTGCCTGCGGCTCGTGTGCCACTTCTTTGTTTCTACCACATTTTGACGTCATCTGCCTATTAATGAACAAACGCACGGCAACATGTAATCTATACATCGTTTTCAGTCACGCGGTCAGCAGCTTTGCAAATTGCTTGGAATAAAAGAAAGTTTTTACATGTCAAAAGAGTTCAATTCCCACAGGATTCTTTTTTTACAACAAACATGGCCGCCGGTTCATTGTTTTGTACACAAATATGGCCGCCGTGACGTCATGTGAAAACGATCTATTTGTTAAAAAAGAAAATAGATCGGGTCTGTGAACAGGCATGTAAACTTCAAGGGACCCTCCGGAATCACCCAGAGCTCTAGAACAAGCAACTTTAAAATTCATCTCCGCGTAAAACAGCAAAAAAATATGCCACTAAGGCTTCTATTCAAAGATCCTTTGCAACTGATGCTCAGTGAGACCTCATTCCCAGTAAGGCAGATCCTTAAAACACAGAGTCAATTATTTAAACGATGTATAATTTAAGCCGCGATTTAAGAAATCATGTATTCCACGGGGGGTATTTAAAGAAGATAAAAGCTTTTCTAGTCCACGCTACATTGTATATGCTTTCATTACACTGTCGATATTAACAAGACTTAGAAGAAAGCAATGGGCAAACTCATGGCTTAGATCGAGCGCAGTTTCGTTAAACACTGGCTAAACTCCGTTTAAAATGACCGGCCCAGCGAGTTAGGCTACGAGTAGTCCCCATTTTTCCTCAGGGATAGTAAGAGCGAGCGAAACGCGAGCGCGTGTGAAAATAACCCCACACGAGATTCGCTCACCGTCGCGTCTCGCCTTTCTCGGGTGGCGTGATTTTCACGTGCGCTCGCGTTTCGCTCGCTCTACTATCCCGAAGAAAAAATGCGGACTACTCGTCATAAAGGATTAAATTAACTGCAAAAACCGTGGACGAAGATCCTGCTAGTTGTAAACGTTGGATCTCTAGAAAAGAGATCAAATCAGCCAAAATATAAAGAACCAAGTACTCGTAGTCGACAGCGAGTTTGATGCCACGGCTACATTCACGCGGCACCGGACAAAGGGCCTGGACCCCAGACAGGTGAGGTAACATGCAGCGGGTCCCCCCACCTATCATGTATTAAAACGTTATTAAATTAAAATGAGAGATTAGGGAGCTTAAGCAAAAACGACGAGGACGGAAGTGAAAACATCCCTAAAAAATGAATTTGCCTCCTTTCAAACTTTATCGTGTCTTTTTGGAACCGCTCAATTCGTGAAAAGTAGGCGACTTTTCCTGGAGTTAAATTCTTAAGGGCTTTATCCATGTTCAAAGAGAGAAAGGAACATTTGTCGTCGTATGTCCACGTCTTCCATAAAACGTCGCATTGGGACGTTTCACTTTGTAGTCTTGCAGTGGACGTCAAAGAAATGTTCTAAAAAGCGTGAAGCACGTGCAGAGCAGTTGTTTTGCTGATAAAACCAATTGGTTTTTGACGTTGTCCTCGTCGTCGTCGTCATCGTAGTTGCTTTATTAAGCTCCCTATCATATGGAGAGGTGGGGTACCCCACATAAGCGGGTTACCTCACCCACCTGGGTCCCCCAACCTCTATGGAAACAGGCCGAATTTTCGACCGACTGATAAATTTAACCGGACTCTTCCTTCACACGGGGCCGTTCCGTTCAATACATTTGTTCTATTCGCAAAGAGCTTTGTAGGGCTAAATGACTAAATTTTCGTACGGTTGGGGTTGGTCTTTTCGGTATTGAATACACTCCTTCAATTTCGAGTCCCAACTCACATGTCATTGTTTCCTGCGACCAATTAGGAGAGAGCAACTCCTACACTGCTCCGGGTACCAAATCGATCCATCAGTAAAGCAACAATGGAATGACAACAATACCGTCAAAACAACGCTTATAATTTATTTGTAAGCGATGTGTTAGTTGAAGTGCATTCCTGCTAGCATTATTCGGTGTGTTTAATTTTTCCCTACTTTGTTTAACGTAGCCTGCAGTGAGGCGTTTTCTTCGGGCGCGCAAATGTTTTTGCTCGGGAAAGCGCCATGTTGAAACCTCCCTAAGCGAGGAGAAAATGGGTTCTCCCCTCCCCCCTTTCCTTCTTTCGCCCTCACACTTACCCTAAGGGTTACTATTTCTACTCTCCCCAATCTTCCACTGTCGTAAAATCAAAGATGGCGGCTACAACAATACGAACACGAACAAGGTTTCGCCCACCCGAAATACGCCTGCACTGCGGGCTATATTTAACGTCACGTTACACCTACTTAGAGTCATCTCTATGACATAGAGTTCTATTTACATGATTCTATCGTTGGTTATAATATAAGATTTCTTATACTATTTTCTCTGAAACGTCTTCCCTACGAAATTACACTTACAAGTTTTTAATAACTTTTTCACTAGTGGACCAAATCTAGCCAGTAAATTATCACCTTCTAATATCGACCCTGAAAGTTATTTACAGCCCACTAAAACAGCCTTCTCCTTAAGGGCTCTTAGTGTCACAACTGTGTGTGAGCTACTAAGTGAGCTTGACGAAAAGAAAGCCATGGGATTGGACGGAGTTCCTTGTAAACTTCTGAAATTAGCCAATCCCATTATTGGACCATCATTAACGAAAATTTTTAATAGCTGTATAGAAACAGAAACCTTTCCAGATGAATGGAAAATCGCCAAGGTGACTCCTATCTTTAATCAAAGAAAGACTATCGTCAACTCGTGGGTACGTTGTTTAGAAAATAATCAATTAGTTATCACCTCTGGTTTTCCCACAGTGAATTTTAGGAAATGATAGAAATTCATAATATAAATATACTATCCTTGTTCTGGAAACACAATACTTTTCTTGCTGTTTATTGCACTTTAGTAACAGTTATTTAAGTATATATTTAAAAACAAAACAAAAAAAAGCAGCAAAACAAATAAGCAAACAAGACAAAACAAAAAAAAAAAAAAGGAAGAAGGGAAAAAGAAGGTCCCTAGCGGGTTTTGAACCGGGTACCTTCGGTTTGACCCGACCTCACATAGCCACTACGCCATTGAGGATGATCACGTGATTTTGAGAAAAGTCTCATATTTAATGCCTTTTCCATGGAACTTCCGCCGGCAAACGATCGGCCATAAAAACGACTCGAAGCAATGAGATGAAATTAAGGCTAATTGAAACCAGGCTACTGACAGTAAAAAACAATGTAAACGCATTTCATGGCAATGAAAGAACAGATGCGATACAAAGCCGACACAACTCCTCCGCGAAGTAGGACGCAAAACATTAGCTTATGTTTTCTTATCTCGATTTCCGCTGTTATTTTAAAAAGGTAATGCTCAAACTCACATCCATTTTCCCCCGTGATTTTGGGGAGTCCTTTAGAAGAAGAAGAAGAAGTGCCTTTATTTACCATACATTTCACCAGTCCATATTTTATAGGTCCGTATTTTATACCCAGTCCGCAGTCCGTAGTCCGCAGCCGGTGTTTTATACTGACCGCCATAAATTCATTCGTACACATAACCTACTACAGTTCTACAAGGTAGGAGATCAAGCCAGCGTCGAAGTTGAAGGAGTCGAAGAGCAAATGCTCATCTTCTTGTCAAGTTTAACGCCTGGACGGGTCAAAGGCTTTTGTCGACTTTTGAATCGTACTAATTTGAAAGATTTCTGCCTGTCTTAAATTTGGTAAGACCTCTATCCTAACCGTGCTGTAGCGCACGATGCACGCTCGCAGCAAGGAATTTGCTGCTACCGAACTTCGGCGAGTGCGTACTTCTTTGGAAACGATAGATCTTCGCGCTCTCGAGTTCGGACCCGATTAATTACGAAGTGCGTCTAGTACGAGTGAGTGAGTGACTCATTTGCATATCTCAGTCCCTGCAATAACTCGTGGTACGCTCGCGCGTACCCACGAGTTAAAAAAGGATCAAAATCTGACCTGAATAACTATAGACCAATTTCTGTATTGCCAATTGTCTCAAAGCTATTCGAGAAAATTATCTATCAACAACTCTACGATTACCTAGATAAAAACAAAGTCTTGAATACTTATCAATCCGGCTTTCGATCGCTCCATAGCACCATGACAGCGCTCCTTGAAACAACGAACAACTGGTCTATTAATATAGATAACGGCCTTTTAAATGGTGTGTTATATATCGACCTTAAAAAGGCTTTTGACACCATTGACCACGCAATTTTGTTACGTAAACTTGCAAACTATGGACGTGATCTGGGTTCCCTACGATTCTTTGCCTCCTACCTAGGTAACAGGAGCCAGAAATGTTATGTTAAAGGCGTATTGTCCAGTGCAAGCGAACTAAGATGCGGAGTCCCACAGGGTAGTATTCTCGGTCCTTTGTTCTTCTTAATCTATATAAGCGATCTTCCAAACTGCCTTAATACAGCATGTGCTAAAATGTTCGCAGATGATACAACTATTACCACTTCTGGTTCCTCTCTAGCTGACCTTGAACAAGAGACTAACTTAGAACTACTGAACCTTCACTGTTGGCTAAAAGCTAATAAGCTTAGTCTTAATATTGCGAAAACCGAGTTTATGGTTATTGGCTCTCGCCAGAAGCTTCTTGCGGAAAGCCATAACGAAATAAACATCAAACTAGAAGACCAAGTTATCAGCAATGTTGATCACGCAAAATCGTCAGGTCTCATTATCGACAATCGGCTTTCCTGGTCTAATCATGTTAACGAATTGTGTAAGAAGGTAACTTCGGCTATAGGTGCCCTTAGACGTATCAGGCCCCTTATCTCCCAATCTACTGCGGTACTCGTCTATAACTCCTTAATTCAACCTCACTTTGATTACTGTAGCCTCGTTTGGGATGGCTTAAGTGATCAACTGAGTGACAAATTACAAAAGTTACAGAACCGTGCCGCTAGAGTAATTTTAAAGGCCAACTATGGGACTAGCTCGAGCCTGCTTCTTGATATACTCAAATGGGACAAATTAGTTATAAGGCGAAAGAAGCATAAAGCAATCATGATGTTTAAATCTCTAAATGAACAAGCTCCAGTGTACTTGCAGAACCTATTTCACGAACGAAGCACAGACTATGATTTGCGCAATTCCTTTCATAAATTGACGTTGCCCAGGCCGCGTACTCACTACTTGAAACGAAGTTTCTGTTACATCGGTGCTTTGTTGTGGAACTCTTTACCCGAAAATGTGAGAGAAATTAAATCAGTCAGGAAATTTAAAGAGCAAATCAATCATCTATTTGAGTCGTCGGACTCTCACTCGGCAGTCTTGTAAAACAGTATGTCGATAGTTTTTAGTCTAATTAATTGTAATTAGATTTTTACTCTATCATTACTGAAGATTTTACCGAGTTTTAAATAAAGAATCTACCTATCTACTTATTAACGTTCAACTAATTCCATTAAGAGATCATTTGGTTTTCTCACTTGTCACTCATTAATAGAAAATCTACATAGGTGGGTTCCACAAACATGTCATACCAAAATATATACTGAAAATACCGTCTTATGAAGTACGATAAATGCTTTTCATAAAATTGGCTTTACTGTGTTTGAAATCCACCTAAACCTTTATCTTGATTTTACAAACATAAAAATACAGTGACATAGAATTCTTTTTACATACAAAAGTTAGAAATGATTTCTCTAACTATTTAATCCGAAATGTCTAAAATTTGTCTTCTCTACAAAAGGACGTGTTGTTGATCTATGAACGTTAAACTGCTGTCATTTAGGGAGAATTTGATTTCTCCGCTTTTCCCTTTCAATAGAAAATCTCTAAAAAAATAGGTTCTACGAACACTTCTTACAAAAATACTGAATATACTGTCTAAGTAATAGAATAAACGCGTTACGTAAAATTGCCTTTACCTTATTTCAAATCCACCCAACCCTTCCCTTCGAATTATCAGCGCTAATTACATGTATTAGTTCAAAACTCTGAACAGAGGGCGCGAATCGACTCCATTCGCAAACCAGATAACCATGGGAAGGGGCATGTATTCGTATTCGGGTCATTTTCCAAAAAGCTAGAATAGTTACTTAGTTTCTGAATTATTTTCACTCATTAACTAATGGAAGGACCTTTTTCAACCTAACTACAAATTATAAAACTACCTGTACTTTCCAATAATGTAGGTCTTTTCTCTAATCATGAGATTAATCAACTCATTTAAACTACTTAAAAGTCCTTACTGATAAACGTTTTTTAAGCTGGCAGTTTTCTTCTCTTGAGGCGAATGAGTATACTTGTAAATGTAGTCAAAGAATTGCATGCTTCTGCCCTGGTTCCGCATCTTGAAGATGAACTCAGCCCGGGCATACATTCATTTTTGTTGTTAAGTCAGAGGAGATTTGGCTCCACAAGAGATTGACTTTCTTTCTAGTTCTCTAAGGGAAACAAAGAAATAACAAACACGCTGCAGGTTAAAGAAGACAAGCAAACAGCGAAGGACACAAACGACAGCACAGTTCGTTGGACCTCAGACACTGTGCTTATCAAGACATCTCATCTAAACCTATATGAGTAAAGACGATTTAACTTAATCTAAAACTTGGGATCTAAAGCAAGAGCGCACATGAAGGTAAACTCCTGAAACGTCTCAGAAAGTTAGAGTTAGGTATACCTTGATGACCAAGAGAGAACTCTCTTGTTGATAACTTTAATGTTTCATATAGGCTTTGTCTACACTATGCCGACAGAAACCTATCCCATATGGACGATGCTCTCTCGTCGATGGCGCGGCGCAGCTTCGCCCCGATACAGAAATCGCGCCAAAATCACCGTTTTTATGTGTCAACAGAAGCTCTTTCCGGTACGATTTTCGTGCCCGCGCAAAACCTGTGATCCGTATGATAGTGTGAGCATAGACTTAGTTACAGAAAGTGTTGGCACTACTAATCTACAGGCATCTTTTCTCCCACTGGCGAATGAGGCCGGAGGACAACAAATCGTTACTTGCATCGTATTTTCTTTATTTTTAAACGACATGGTCACAATTTTTTACCCTCAAATTTACCACATGCATTCATCGGCGATATTTTCAACCGAAATCAACCAACTGGCACATGAAACTCACGGGGGGAATCAATTTGCATTCAACTATTTTTATTGCAGTTTTACATTCTAACATTCCAAGTACGTATTTTTACTTTGGAAATAAAGGAAGCTGGAACATAGTGGAAATTGTGACATACGCCTTCATCCTTTACTTCTCAACATAGGAGAAGGAGCTAAGCCATGATAATTGTTTCGTTCTTTTAGTTTTTTATTTTGTCGCCATATTTCAAAATTAAAGCTTATATATGATCCCAACTTACAAAAGAGGAAATATTTAATTATAAGCTTTAAGAATAGGAACTAGAAATACGTTTACCGCAACACCTCGCGAAGGTGTAAAAAAAGGGCAGCAGTGTAAATAAATTAGAACCAGCCAAAAGGTAAGAAAAAGTATGGTTAAAAACAAAAACAAAAACAAAACAGCCAAAAAAAAAAGGAAAAAATTTCCTCAGCCGGGAGTCCAACCCCGGACCTTCAACATCCAAAGTCATCTCCTCGTCTACTGTGCCACGTCACCAAATGTTAAATGGAGGGGGTTACAGTATTATAATAGTACTTTAACAAAGCACTTACCCTGGACCATGTTCCACATCTTCTCAACAAGGGCTCCACACTGCTCCTCCCAGTTGTACCTCTCTTCGTAGCTTGCACGCAAGGTTTGGATTTCTTTAAGACGTTGTGCTCTTCCTTTTTCGCGAACAGCAGCAATTGCTTTCGCCCATTCCATTGGATCGTTGGAATTCACCACAAACGATTTTCCTGAGGGTAACTCGCGTAGTGCATGTGCGAATCCTGAATTGCCACTCACTAGAATGGGGAGACCAGCAGACAACGCCTCCAGAGCTGTTAATCCAAAACCTTCTGTTCTGGAAGGCATAATGGCAAGGTCAACCTCACAAAACAGTTCTTTTAACCTTTCCTTGCTCTGCACAAACGCTCTGACAATAAGCTGGTCTTTAGCAATTCCAGTCTGAAGCAGGTTTTGGGCGACTTCGTCTTGTTTCCCAATGGGAGCGCCCACAAACACCAGGCAGTAAGAGCTATCTTTCAATTCAACAACTGCTTTGGCGGCAATGTCATATCCTTTGAGACTAAAGTCTTCAGAATCACCGCGGCCAAAGGTTAAAACCTTAAACCTCCCTTCCTCCCGTGTAGCTTGTTCCAGCATTGAAAATTCATGGAAAGTACCTGGGGTAAGCTGGAAGATGTATTGGTGTTTCTTGCAAACCCGCAGGTAGGATGAATAGGTTTCTCTCAACCTGGGTCCGACTGCCACGACAAGATCTGCCAGTCTGCACAAGTCTACTTCAGCTCTGTTCTTCTCTTCACCTTTGGCAACCGCGCTGTCATAGTTCTTGAACATTCCAAGTTCTTCAGGTGCAGTATGGACCACCTGTACCCACTTACAGCCGTGGGACTTCCGAATTACTTGCGCTTGTTTTCCCAACTTTGCCCCATGGCCCAGGACGATGTCGATAGCAAGGTTTTTCGGTGGGAAGCTCAACCAGACAAGAGGATCAAATCCTGGTAGACTCTCTGCTTCACGAATGACAATGTTCTGTTCTGCAGCGTCTCTCCTGTCTTCCTCACTGCAAGACGATTGTGGTACCAAAAGAGTAATGTTGAACAAGCTGTGCTTCGCAAGTAGAATGGCGAGATTTCTGTTAATTGTTGACAAGCCACCCATGGATGAGCCCCACTCACTCGCCAACAAAGTAACATTCAGTGCTTTAACAGATTTCTCCGGGTCACTTTCATCTCCTCTGTCTTGCAATGTCTGTGTATGTAAAAGAAGTGGATCAATTTAGGTTTCTAGGAAACTGCCCGCCTACCCCTCCCCAAAGCCAACATTATCACTTACTTCTCAATTAGGGCAAAATGTTGGCTTAGGGCAGGGGTAGGTGGGCAGTTTGCCAAAAACCTAAAGTGATTCAAGGAAGCAGTATGTTGAGAAAGTTAGTACTGATTTTCAGCCACCGGTTGCGTCAAAAGGGTCATGACCCACTTGCTTGGTTGCCGAAGTGCTCTAACATTTTCTTTAAGTCTTTGCTAAATATACCGGACTAAAATGGTTTTTAAAAAAAACAGTAAAACAATGTTAACCGTACGAACAAGTCTGTGGGGTAATTGCGCCTCGAGACAGTATGTATGTACTCCGTTACAGCTGCAGCACATCAATTGTCCTTTGGGAAGGCGTTGAAATTTGGGCTACCTTTAAGGTTTCACACCTCTTGTCGATAGCAAAGCAAGACGAAATCTCGCACAACTTTTGTTGACTTAAGCACAGATTCATACTTGCCAAGTTTAATGCAGTAAAGCATAATAGACTCACGTCTATCTCTTCTTAGTGGAAAGAAGTTTCGGATTTTGAGTGAGATAGCTAAGGTTATATTAACCAATCACTAACTGGCGGTTTTGGTCGGGCAAAAGCAATGGAGGGGAGCGCTCGTTCTACGCAGGCTGATAGTGTAGATGTCAACACTATAAAGGATTACTTGGACCACTTAACGTAATTTAATATTATATCTCTTTAATTTCACCTGAGTTCGTCTTAGAGACAGCCACTTTTCTATTCCAGGAACCCTCCTCACACTGTTGCCAACGATCTTTGTGCAAACCAGCCGCTGCCCTTCTTTTAGTTTTAAAAAGTGTGTGCACTCTTCTTGGGTACATGCGGCGTCCCGGTGATTTGGACATTCAGCCAGACAGTTGGGGCACGCAACGGATAACTCATACTGCAAACCGCTAAGACATGGCAACTCGTGTGACAACTTTTGCAAAGTGTCGTCTATGAAGACACGAACACGACTTGGTATCTCAATCGATTCAGACACTGAAACAGATTCTTCATCGGCCTCATCTTTCTGCCTCAACACAATCTTGATAAAATTCTTTTTGCAAAGAAGAATGAAATCATAGATTATCTGCTCTCCGACAATAACGAAATGGGCACCATTTTGGTACAGAGTAGGAGGTGGTGTCTCCTGCCAAGTCTTACAGCACCAGGAAATAAAACTCGAAACAAGACGTATGAAGAGACCTTTCGGGACAAACCCACCTCGGAAATGAAGATACAGTGGACATGGATCAGTAGGGGTGGGCACAAGGTTACAAACCTTCATGGGTGGGGTCTTGAGTTGTGCGGGGACGAAGTACGTGGTACCGAAGGCCGTCGATGTAAACTTGGCAATCAAACCAAACTTGTCCATCATATCCAAGATGTCCTGCTGGGCAAAGCTTTGCTTGATAAATTTGGAAAAAACGTGATCAATAAGTTCCATGCAGAGAACACCACTTTTTTCCAATTCTTGCCAGTGGCTAGAATGCAGAGGATCCTAGTAAAAATAATATATATAAAAAAACATGACAAATGATACTGCATATGTTTGAAGGTTACCTTCAAAACCCTCTGTTTTAAAGAAATGTTTTCAAAAGAAAAAAGTATCCTAACGATGTCATTAAGTATCAAAAAGAAACTGAATCCTGTTTCTTGATTTCAAAACCTTTGCCGCTACCGCAGACTAACAGGACCTAATATTACGCTTATTCGGTCCGGTAAGCCAACAAGGTTACTTAAAATTACTTCTTATATTTAACATGGGCACAAAAATGAACGTTATTATGAATGCTTCTGTCTTCTTACTGCTTTTTCATAACGTGGAATGGTGATCAGCTGTCTGAACAGATCTATCAACCATTCAGACTCCAGAATAACTGTGTTGCGGTGCCTAATAATCAGTCCGAGGTCATGGTAGAAATTTAACATCGTTTGAAACTCGTCCTCGTCTTCTATTAGGCAGATCTCCCTGGCAGAAGTTTGAAGCTCTTCCACAGTCGTGCAATGAATGCTCCGAGCTACCATATTCCCAATTACCTTCTCAAAATCGACCCACCTACAGAACAATGGTAGATGAAAGATTATAAACACAAAAAATTGTGAAGCTTAAGTTAAATCTAACTTGCAAATTTGCTAGGTAGCGCCCAGCAACATAGTCTATGGCTCTATAAAATTAATTACAGACAGAGAAAACAAGATACGTGTCTAATTCCACCAAAAGTGAGCCTAACTAGTAAAGTTAGTATTCTTTACCGTTTTTAGGTTCAGGTAGATTTACACTGGATTTAGAACGGACTGACTTTCTACATTAACGATTTTTAGTTCGAGCAGGTTTTCGTTCCTTAGACAGGTGAAAGATCTCTGCATAATACTCTCTCCACTTTTTTTTTGCAGTATTCAAAACCATCTAGTATCATTGCCTTATACAGTTTAATGGAAGCTAGGTCTTCAATGCCTTGTGGACTATTAACAACGCTTCCAAAAAGTTCTTTCTATTTTAGCATAGTCGTGAAGTGACAGATAAAACCGTTTTTTCGCTTCTTTCTTTCCAGTTTAATTTTTATAAGTTTTTAAAAATTTAGACTTTATTACATGAAATTTTGGCGACACTTTAATTTAGCGAATTTAGCGATTTTTTCTAAGTTAAAATGCACCAAAATTATTTAGTGTCGCTAAATTTAAATGGTCGCTAAATTAAAGTGAGTACAACATAAAAATTCTGCCATCTGGTCAGTTTCACACACATATGCTATTTGACGGTCGATTATGAAGTTTATCGTTGACTTTGTTATGAGTCAGGACAGCATTAAGATATGACATTACAGTTGCAGTTTCGTTTTTTTTTGTTCAAAATTAAGTTTCAGAACGTTGTATGATTTTGATTTAATTGAAGGTATTGACGCAAATGATTTAATCACATAAATGTTCCATTGTCGTCGTAAAAGTTTTCAATACCTTATCTCCAGATACAGTAAAAGCCCGCGACTAAGAACCTTGATTTTTCCAAGTTAGCCTAAATAGGTTCTTATATAAACGGTAGTTAGAGCAAGTTTAGGCTATTTAGGTTCTTATTTTCTTTAGAAAAAAATACAGTATAATACTATGGCTAAGAGTATTTAGTGGCTCAGCTTATTCCTCATATAAAATCGGCATACCAAATTAGAAGTGAAGTAAAAATGAACATAAAAAAGAACTGTATTTGGTGTTTCGATACAGTTTTTGGCAGACCATACCGATGTTTTTCAGTCACCTTAAAAGTGATTTTATCCTTGTCCGATCGCTACGAGATTTTCACCAGTGATTGAGTATGAATTGAAGTTTGTCAAAATGCAGTTTTTAGTAAAATCGATATCACTAAGACAACAATACACAAAAAAACTTTGAAATCGAAAAAATCCAAATTTTGCCCGATCTAGACCTGCTACTGAAAATCCGACACCAAGTACTTATAGTTTGGTGTTTAGCAAATACCCTCCGTGAGAAGTAAAAAATTCTGTACGTTTGAATTCAAATAAAAGGAAAACATAAATAGAAGGTTTGAAATATTATTTCAAACCTTATATTTTCAATAGCCGTGATAAAACGTTTAATAAAAAAGTTCTAAATAACTCACATTAATCTTAAGTAGCGTCAGAAGGCTTCTTAATATCATTTTTCGATGCTAGGAAATTTTGGTATTTCCTTTCTTGCGATCCTGAAAACTAACCTTTTTTCTCACCACCTGTCTAAAGGCAACTTTATTCTAAATTTCGAATTTTAGCGCTTTTCTGTATTATCCCTAAAACGGCTCAACAGAATTCTTTTTAAACCTCACCCCATAATCTTCATGATCTATATAACAATGTCTGAAACTTTCATTAAGATTGATTTGCTGCAACACCTTAAAATTTCACGAAGGACCTAGCCTACGAACCGGCCAAAAATCCGCGTTACAACATTCACTGTTTTGACGTTATGCTAATTTTTCCAAATTGATGCCCATCATACATACCTCCACGGCTAGTATATTTTAGTATGAATTTTATTGCATATTCTTAATGTAAAACATTGACAATATTCACATTGAAATGTACTAGCCATGGAGGTATGTATGGTGGGCGTTAATTTGGAAAAATCAGCATAACGTCAAAACAGTGAATGTTATAACGCTGGATTTTTGGCCTGTTCGTAGGCTAGGTTTGTCTTGAAATTTCAAGGTGTTACAGCAAATCAATCTTAATGAAAGTTTCAGACATTGTTATATAGATTATGAAGACTAAGGGACGAGGTTTAAAAAGAATTCTGTTGGGCCGTTTTAGCGTTTTTGCCTTGACATTCCACCGTCGTACTCGTGCTCGATCTCGCACTCTAAAGGTGGCTAATTGTCTAAAACCGGGTTTCCATATGATCGCAGCGATCGAAGCGATCATATGACAACGATCACTGAGATAGAAAAAGTTCTATCTCAGCGATCGTTGTCACAGCGATCGCTGGATAGTGGTTTCCATATGATCGCTATGATCGCTGCGATCACTGAACTTTTTTTTTCTCAGCAGTCGCAGCGATCATATGGAAACGGGCTGAAGTAAGAACCATGAGGTAAAATAATCCCTGGAGATCAAAACAATCAATCAAATACCTGACTGGTATTTTTTCTCCCATGTATGGCTCATTTCTCAACACTTCCATGATTTTAGCCCGCAGTGCATCAATGTCATCACCACTGGTATCGTTAGTCCCTTCGATCGAAAAAAGTGACAATGACAACCGGTAACATGTAACTCTCGGTATTTAATACTGATTTATTAATTAAATTAAAACTGGTTTTAAAACAAAAATTGTAAATCAAATTCGATCACAGCAACAGGGAAAAGAATTCTTACCTATATGTGTTCATCATTGTCCCTCCCCCCTTCCCTTCCCTTCCCCCACTTCACCACACCCCTTTCAGAAGTTTATTGCCCATGAAATTTATTGTGTTTTGGTCGTCCTTCACGAAACTCTTAGGCTGCGTCCAGTTCACAGTTTATGTCTACAGGTCAATCTTTCCGTCTTAAGGAGATTCTACCCAAATGTTAAATGCTCCTCACCAGACCGTCTGTTCATCTCGTATATAAAGCCTCACAAACGAGTTTCCTCTGCTACTATTGGGTACTGGCTAAGGTTTACCATCCGAGATGATAGTATCAATACGGACATTTCCAAGGACCACTCTGTTCGTTCAGCTTCAACCACTGTGGCAGCCAACGGCAGAGTTTCTCTGGATGAGATTATGAAAATGGCTGATGGGTCATGTCAATCCACCTTCCAGAAGTTTTACTATAAGCCAGTATTCGATTGAAAATACTGCCAAACTGTCCTCAATCAACCATAACTGTGTTCTGAGGAATTTTTTCCCTGCGTCCTGACGTTGCCAACCAGTGTATTTAGCATCATTTTTCAGAACTTTTATTTTCTAATGCCTTTTGTCACATGTGTCAGACATTAAAGTTTACTCCTTGGTGTCGTAATCTACCTACTCTATTTTCATACTTTTCGACCGAGTTTGTGAAATATAATTTCTTTTTGTCTCCTTCTCCACAACTTTTTTTTTTGTTTGTTTGTTTGTTAAAGTAGTGTTAGCTTATTTCATTTCATTATTTGCTTGTTATGCAGTGGAGTGAATCTGTAATAAATAGATAAATTAATTAACTAAACCAGGGTCGCGAAGCGACCAGCCTGTATAACTGAGATTATATGAACAAACGAAGGGAGAAATCTATCAACCCTAACCGTCACCCGTCCTTATGCCTTTCCACTGATGCTTGGGCCAGTGTTTATTTCTTCCTTTCTCGGTCAGCGTTAAAAAGCTGCAGATAATCCTGGGACCACATGGTTGGTGCCCCCAGGGCTTAATGGGATTACGTTACATCTTTGGATTGTGCTTTCAGCATCAAGAAGGAAAAACTAGCGATAGTATATCAAATCTACCATTTTGTCCTTTGGAAATACATCAATTTATGTTTTGCGATTGTTGTCGGTCTGACACGATTAACAAAATAACATGCTGGAAGCACTGATGATCTTGGTAAGTGTCAGTAATAAATTTATCCACCAGCTTAAAGATATTTAAAAGCTGGACCGCATTTTCCACGTCAATAGAGATTTAGAATCACGTTTACGGCAAAAGTCAATTTGTACAGCGTGACCACTGAAGTTTTTCCTTTACCTGTCGTTTGCTATTCATTTCATCTACACAGGAATAAGTTGTTTCATGTCACGTTCATCCATCAGATTTGTTTGGTCATTTCCCAACTTGAGAGAGGTGTCAACTTGCATCTCGAGCTTTCCGTAAACGTGATTCTATATCTCTCTTAAGAGTAACAACGTATCAGGGACTTGTTAGGTGGGCTTAAAGATGCTAACTGAAAATACTGAATGAACTGAAACAGTAAAGAAATAATTGTCTCACCTACCTGTTTGATATTAATTCACACCTATAGACGCATAGACTAAACTGGAATTGAAGATATTTTTGGTTTAAAAGTACACTTCTGCATTATGACAAGTTTTCGAATACGGCAGCTATTAAACCAGGTCATTACACTTGCACTTAACATTATTTTTAGGTCTGTACCTGCAAGAAAATTCTTCATTCGCCTCAATAGTGACTTGTAGCCCTGCGTGTTATCTACTCTGAAGAAATGCCTGATCACATGCTTTTCATATTCTTTGCCAGAAATTTCCCTCTGTATCTGTGATATCATGCTTTCAATGTCCTCAGATGGTTTGTCAGCATGTGTACCAACAACAATGACAGGAGGCCGAAGATAAGGCAACTGTCTTTCAGCGTTGACAATCATTTCTACTCCTCTTGGTCTGATACTGCAAACCGTAACAAGCCATGACAGTAAAACCTCCAAATTGGTTTCGCAGTTGGGGTTTTCTAAAATAATGTTATGAGTTCCTTGCCTAACACAAGGTTCAGCAATGGCATCAAGTGGTTTGCTCAGGTTGTGCACCAGAACATACACTGCTCGTGGTGACAGAAAGACAGGATGAGATGCATAGTAAAGGTGCTGTCCTGCAAAGTCATATAAATCTACCGACATGTTGATATCACTGAAAGGTTGATCACAGCGATCAATCATATGCCAGAAATACGTGAAAGCAAGTGCTTTGACGTGGCTAACAGCTAAACGTATATCAGTTAGTAATTGTGGCTTATTTATGGCATTTGCCTCAAGACTTTCACATCCACCACGGCGATCATGGTCGTTACCACTACGATCCTCAGAGGAAGCAGCATCACTGTCATCACTACCATCGTGGTAATAATGATTACCATTAGCACCACCAACAGCATAGTCATCATCACCATCCTCATCATCGCTCTCGGTAAAATGTTCTTGCTCTGATGATACTTGAACTTTCATTTTAGAAGAGGGGGTTGAGCCAATGTACAACTCGTTGAAACTATATAAATCCATGGCACTCTAAGATAAACGTATAAAACAACATAATTTTTAAAATTACTCATGGAATTTCTATTCATACTACAAATACTGAAACTAATGGCATAAGGGGCTTACAATCGGAATACACGTAGAAAAGGCGCTTCGAAACAAGCTAGAGCACAGCTGATAGCAGTGCCGATCAAAATTCGTTTTGCATTTACTGGTTTTTAATTGAGCTTCAAAAGGTGATAATAAGTCGAATTTAAAGGGGGGATTATAACTGGAGCTTATACCCGAGGAGGCTTATAAGCGGCAGTTTACGGTGGGGCAAAGTCGTTCCTTTTTCTTTGCGGGAACGAGGTTACTATAGTAGAAGGGGGATGGGCGATGAATGTTACTGATTTAATACCTATAATAAACAACGTCGTGTACATGAGACGGTGGAGAGATACGACGATACATAACCCTCCTGTTTTTTATTTAATTTTTTTCAAGCCTCGATTTTTCATTGCTGTAGAATCAAGATTTACACATTATGCAGGTAAACTTGGTCTCTTGTCTTTAAAAACGCTGGGGAGCTGAAACCCTCTGGCACTAGAAAGCCTGGCACCTGCTAGGTACATCGCAATAGTTTTATCGCCACTAAATAATTTACATTTCCACTTGTTCATTTTGAAAACATTGTATTTTGCGTTTTTTCTGAAGTACTGGAATCTTTTGGTGACTAACCGGGAGGTAAACTGACATTTGTACACCTGCAGGACCATTACGAAACAAGGATGATTTAACATAAAGACATGTCAAACTGGGAAGGAAATACGACATTATCACACTTGGATTTATTCGGCAACTCTGGACAGTTCTTGTATTCCTTTCAGTTCCTCACACGCAATCTAATCTTGCAAGTTATGCATGCGAATTTGCGAGGCAGAGGATATTTACTCACACTGAAATGTCACAATATACAGTAATAACCGACGTGTAAATATCTGTACCAAACTTGTGGGGCACAAAATAACTCACTTAAATCAAAATCCTACTTTTATTGAAATCACCATCCGATCGAACATTTTCAACTACTCCGAATTCAAATGTCAACCAAGAAAAATATAACACTAATTAACGAGATGCTAAAAGAGTCACATCCGGTTTCCATGAGTGTCACGACATTTTCTGGTCACATTCCGGTCACGCTTCCCTAAAAATTGAGTGGCGCTCAACCAACTAAGCAAAGTTTAATCATCCTCCTCCGCAATGATTTGACGAATCTTCTCTTTGTTTGTTCCAGCTGCTTGTCTTCTGATTCTGGTTCGTTCAGCCAGTTGGATTTGTGCTGTCGGCACTTCATTGTTGCGCGCAACTGCCTCTTTTATTTCCAGTGGGCACACGAGGTTAAGCGATCTGTCAATGTAGTGGCCCTTCTGAAGCAATAATACTTCTCGGACAACTCCACCTTTTCCTCGAATATATAAAAATCGTACAATTTTTCCCTTTTTCCACTCTTCTCGATTTTTCTCGTCTACGACTACCAATATAATTTCTCCGATATCTGGTACCTTTGCGGTCTTGCGGGTGAGTCGATGAGTCTCCATCAGGCTGTGGATATATTCATGTCTCCATCTCTTCCAAGCATGATTTTCAACCTCCCTCAGCTGCTTGTTTTGTGCACTTGTTTCTTCTTTATCTTCTTCTCCCACAATGGGGTGGGCATTTTGCCCCCACATCAAAATCTTTGAACTTAAAAACTTGTTCCTCCCCTCCATCGCTGTTACGGTAAGTCAAGGGCCCGTTGATCAAATTCTTCTCGATGTCGATAACCACAGCCTCAAGTTGCTGAAAACTAAGGTTTTTCCAGCCCAGTGCCTCGAGAAGGGTCTTCTTCACGTCCTTGATTGAACGTTCGCACATGCATCCCCACCAAGGAGAACTGGATAAGTTGAATCGCCAGTTTATGTCTTGTCTGGCCAGGTAGTCCTGTAACCTTTCGCTCTTCAGTAGTTAGGGACATGGGGATTCTGCCCCCCCTTCGTTCACGTGCCAAAACTTCATTCCATCCCCATTTACCTAACTACTAGGATTTCGCCGATTTCACTATTTTTGGATTTGACCTTGGCATTTTGCCAAGACGCCCTATTCCAGCACCCAGAAGAAAAAAACAACAACCAGTGGCTGCCCCAAGGACTAAAATTAATGAAAAAAGGAGGGCTCTAAATGGTTATACCAAATCATATGAGATTGGGTTAAAGTCTAATGTTAATGCTTTGGTACAGTTGCAAAATACTAGACTAGCAATTAGTCGATATTGTTTAATACTATTCTTAATGAGACAAAAGGGTTCAAATTTGTGGAAACTTTTGTGGTTACCTTTAATAAGAGGAGAGATGTTAAGATTCTATATTCAGAACCAATATATATTAATAGTCGGGCGCAAATAGTAGTTAATTCCAATGATTATTTACTAACCTTAGGATTATCACAGCAGTAAATACTGAATAGCATTGGTGTTTGGATAAGTGAGGGAAGTGGTTGGACTATTAGTAGCATTGATGAGCACTATCTTAATGTCGTTGCATATGAGCCATTGAGGGGAAATTGATATATTCCTTTCACAAAAGAGCTTAGGAATGGCAAAAAGGGTTTGATTAATATAAAGAATAATGATGACGAAAGTTTTCGCCGGTGTCATGTTCGCCTTTTGAATCCACAAGAAAAAAATCCTCAGCGGATTAAAAAAACAGATAGAGAGATGGTACAAAAGTTGAATTACCAGGGTATTGAGTTCCCAGTTAGTGTAAAAGATTATACCAAAATAGAGGCTCAAAATAACATAAATGTTAATGTTGTCGGATATGAAGATAAATAATTTTATCCTACCTTTGTCTCTAAGCAACATAATACCAATGAATTGAACTTATTGTTGATTACGGAGGAAGAGAAACAACATTATGTCTTTATTGCGGATTTTAATAGAATGATGTTTCCTAAGACTAAGCATAAGAAGAGAAAGTATTTATGCATGCATTGCCTCCAATGTTTTAGTACAACGGAGATACTAACTAAACATAGGGAGAACTGCATATTCATTAATGGTGAGCAGGCTATTATGATGCCAGAAAAGGGAAAGAATATATTCCAATTTAAGAATCATCATAGGCAGATGCCGGTGCCTTTTGTTATCTATGTAGATTTTTAGGCTATTACTGAGAAGGTATCTGGGTGCCGACCTAATTGTACTAAATCTTAGACCAACAAATATCAAAAGCATACAGGCTGTAGTTATGGTTACAAAGTAGTGCGCTGCTATAATGACAAAAATAGTAAGCCTGTGCAGATTTACCGAGGAAAAGATGCCATTAAAAAGTTTATGCAGGAGATGCTAAGGGAGGTAAAATACTGCAGGAAGCACCGAATTTAAGAAGCCCTTGAAGATGACTAATTAGGAGGAACAAGAGTTTAAGACTGCAGAAGAATGCCATATTTGAGGGCATGTATACAAGGAAACAGACATTCAGGTCAGAGATCATTGCCACTTACTGGAAAATATCGCGGAAGCGCCCACCAGGACTGTAATCTTACACTGAAGAGCCAATGTCTGTAATTTTCGAGAATCGGTTGACAGTCGTGAATTTTTGAATTTCGTCATATTTTGCCCACATAATCTCTATAGTACACTTATTTCAAAACTCACATTAAAACTTGTAACGGTTTTTTATTTTTTCCTGAATCGGGAAAAGTTTGAAAAACGCTAAATCGGCGTTCTTTCGAGTATGAAATTAGCGAAAATTAAGTATTTTCTTCGCTCTCGTACATAAAAACGGGATGATATCTCTAAATGAAATCAAGTCACAAAGCAAACACAGACTTGTACTTTATAATTCAGCAATTGTCTTTAGATAAGCTGCTTAAATGTGGCTGTGTTGGCCGCAAGAAGAAACACGATTTCGGCTCTTTTCAAAAAAGGCAAATTTGACCTAACTTCACCATCGAAAAAAACAATTGATACATGGAATTTCAACATGAAACAAACACTATTTTAAACCACATCCTTTGCCAATTATTGTGTCAAAAATTTTTTGGCGGCATTACAAAAGTGCGTCGCTGAGACACCGAAACGTGCAGGGTAGTTTCGCACGTTGGAACACTGAAACAAGCTAGCCGCGACAGTAGGCACACAAACGTTTTTGCAAACTTAGCTTCTTTTACAAGGGGCACATTACGGGAAGCTCTTAAAATCCTTTGAAAAACGCTTTTCAATTTGATGGTTATAAAAAAACTAAGTAGATTAACACTGCATTTGATTGCACGCAAGTAGCTGGCCAATTTCGAAAAGAAAAAGAAGTGTAAAGGCAGCACCTTCGTCGCTCAGAGAACGTCTGAGTATATAATTTTCTTCAGGCCGCACAGAGTCATCAATTAATGTGCCTTTACGGACCCCTTTTAAATGAGCAGCCAGTAGGCTGCTCTGGAACGGTACAACGTGATTTGTGTTCCGCCATCCGGAACCAAACATTTAGCGGTGGTGAGGAAAAACTTTTATTTTCATGCGCCAACTTTGTGGATCAAAAAAAATCTGCCAGCTCTAAATGTAGTGATAAAGACATGAATTTTTGTATGTGAAGGGTTGATCCTAATGGAGAACCCAATGCCAACCAACCCACCCATCTCTTCCTCCTGCTACAAGCTAAGTAGACTTTTCATGACGTTAGCATAGTTACCTGAGACCTCTTGTAAAGTTCACTAAAATAATAGCAAGCATCTTCGTAGCCTGTTCACAGACCTTCTACTTTTTCTTTAGAGATTGTCGATCTATTTTCTCTTTGGAGATCGTCGATTTCGCGTATGAAAATAAAAACCGCAGGGGGTTTATTGACCATTAGCGCAAGGGGCTCTCTCTCGCGCGCTCGTCTATTTTCCAAACGAAAAAGGAGTGTAAAAGCTGCACCTTCGTCGCTCAGAAAACGTCTGCGTATTTCATTTTCTTCAGGTCATACGGAGTCATCAATCAATGTGCCTTTATGGACCCCTCTATGAGCAGCCAGTAGGCTGATCTAGAACGGTACCACGTGATTTGTTGCACCGCCACCCGGAACCAAACATTTAGCGGTCGTGTGGAAAAACTCTTATTTTCATGCGCCAATTTTGTGGATCAAACAAAGATCACCTAACGTAAATGCAGAAAACCTTACTTTTATCATTAGCATGGTAGGGACGATGTTTGGCTATTGCCCTACATACTCACGTGACTAACAAGTCAGGAGCATACCAAGTGACTCACGACGTCTTTTCTATGAACGCATTCAGCATTACTATGAATACATTCAGCATTACTGGGGCCACAGGCACCAGAATTCAAGTCTGAATGTGTGCGAGATGCTATACGAACATACAACAAAGACTTGCACCGTAAAACACTTATACCAGGAATTTCTTTTCCGGCGCGTTACGCGTCACGCACTTCCGGAATGTCATCTTCCCTCGTGTTGACAGATTGAAAACATATACAAAATTAACTTTGATTCTGCCGTGATGCAGAATTTAGTTAGCGGTACTGTGACCGCGCCTAGCATTTAAGTTCAAGTAAGTAAATAAATTTTCTGATTTTAAGGTTTCTATACGATTAAAACTATAGGAGGGGGGCATTGGGATTTTCGGTTTTGCGGTTTTGGCTATTTTTTAGATCGGTTTTTCGGTTTTTGTTGCAAAAGACTTCGGTTTTTCGGTTTTGGTGGTCATTGCGGTTTGCGGATTT